CTATAACGCTAGCAATCAGCTGTCAATATTTTGTGTTTTCTTACAGATATATCTTGTAGATATATATATTTCTACATATGAAAAGTTAACAGACAAATATGTTGATGAGTGCGATAGCCATTCGCATTAATAATCGATTTCATCTTGCAGATGCAGTTTGTTTGTCTTGAGTGTTTTCATCTTTTACTATGATTGTTTTTAAAAATGTTTTATTTTAGGAGATTCAAAGTAAATTGATTAATAAATACTATTGCCATGTGATAACTGGATCAAATGTGTAGAACAACTGATGATAATCAATCATATGGTAACAGTTTGCTAATTGAACCTTATTGTTTCTAAAAGAGTAATTTAAATTGTTTTGCCTAGTACATATCTTATATTAATATTATCACTAACGAATCTATTGTTTTCTTTTCACTTACGACTCCCGTGGAATTCTAACAGCACTTTTCTGTGCATTTCTTGTAACGATTAAATTATGAAAGATATAACAGAAACTGTATAGTGATATATTTTGGTTTTCAAAGAAAAGAAAAACAAATATCTGTTAATGTCACTAGAGTGAATGCTATACAAATTGACACTGAAATGGTGATATTATGGAATGTCCATTGAACAAATACTGATTATTTTGTGAGAAATAAATTCGCATGTTTGTATGTCATGCTATCAATAAGAATGCAGTTATCTCGAATGAAGAGCTGCTGTAATGCTAATAACGTCGATAACAAACCCAAGTATTCTTCTTATAATAAAGTGGCATATTATTGCAAATTTATTGAGATATGTTCGTTTGTCACTCAATTAAATGTCGCCGCGAAATCAGTTGATTGTTATCGAAAAAATATTTCATATTATGTAGAAAGAAACGTAAGTTCAATTTTTCTTCATTTTCTTGTTGATTGCTAGCACCAAAATCGAAATTAATAAATCTTTCAGGCATTAAGAATAGTTTAATGCAATTCAAGAGAATGAAAATATTCTTTTAACCTATCTCAAAACTTGTTTCAATACATTCAAAGTCATTCTTTTTGTCATTAACATTGGTATTGCCATTGGTGAACTAATTAGTTAGAGAGTAGAGAGTATGAGTGTGCGTGCCAGTCCCAGCCAAGCTGTTAAAATTGGTTGCCTCCCTGTAAGAGGCACATGTCATGATTCTTAGGACTGACTAGCAATGGACAGGCTATCTAGAAAATCTAGTCAACTAGTTTATGTTTCTTTTCCTTGTTATCAAAGCTTTATTTCATAAAATGACATTATTTCTAACAAACAAAAGCAGCGAAGTTATTTTGATAGAAATCTCATGGAGACTTGCAGTTTTCATGATTCAGCAGAATAGTCAAAGATCATTGAATTATATCGAACTTTGATTGTTTAGCAAGAGACCAATCAGATGAGTTGTTGTTGCAGATGCTTGAAAACGATATTCTGAAGCAATTTAACTTTTGATTTAGACTTCAAATATAACCAATTGATAGGAAAAGTTTTCTCTTTAGAATTATAGAAAACTGGCATTCCTAGCTTGTTCTAATTGAGAGTTATATGGAATATGATACGTAGCATTGATCGAAAAAAAATAATGGAAGAAAGAGCAACGAAAAAAAAAATATCGAAAAAAATTACTGCGGGGAAAAAGTTGATCGTACAAAAGGATGAAGAAACCTACAAGCCGATACGACGTCACAAATGTTTCAGAATATCATTAAGTCACACCATTCATACTTCTATTTTCTACTGCGAGTCGGTCTGGATGTGGATAATAGTGGATACACGCCCATGCCCAAACATTCACAAACACCCCACCTCACTATTATTACTGGTGGAGTGTGGGTATGGGAAAGCCCACGAAGAAACCGTTCGAAGTGATGCGTCATTCCTAAGTTCGGACTTTGTGCATAACGTAGATCCCTGTGACGTATGAAAAGCTTCAATAGGAGGAGTGCTCTTAAGTATTCCCATCAGCATTATAGCTATTTTACCGGAATTTCAGTCTGTAAGACAGTATACACTAATAAATTCTATGAGAGTTTTACAAACTGAAACTTTACGTAAAGATAAATCTATTTATTACTAGAATGCTTGAAAGCCATAGCATAAATTAGTGTTTTCTTCAAGAGATATCAAGTTTCCAAAAAACAGGAGTTATTTTCATCTTTCTTTAGATATGAGTGATTTTCAGAATTCCAACATCTGTGGGCAAAGTTTCAGTTCAAAAAGCCGTCATTTAGTTTTTCGGTGTATATCGGCCTATGGGCTATAATTCCAATAAAATGACTACGATTCTACTGGGAATGCCTAACAGCACTTGTTCTTTTGGGATTTTTCGCATCTTACTGAAGTCTACCTTATGCACAAAGTCCAAACTTAGAAACAACTCTTTTGTCAGCCTCCTACGGACCTTTGAGCTCTCGTATCAGAAAAACCACTTCTTTTAAAATTCACCGGGAAAGTCAAACATTCCTAGGAAATCTGAATCCGCTCAGGTCCCATGGTTTTGTCACTGACACTAATAGATCACATCGTTTTGTGTTTATCAAATATCTTCATCTTCGATCGAGAATCCCAAAATAATTTTTTTCTGCCTTTCAATATGATGACCACTTTTTTTGCTATAAATTCCTTCATCATTTCTTATTTCGACCTAATAAATGCCAGTCGTATAAGCCATTCTCAAAGATCGCTCGATTTCAACCAATCGACCTGTGGTTATCCACAAAGGCGACTAGGTAGGAATAATATACCGTGCTAAGCTCAATGATGATATTGGTTTTTAAGTTCGAATTGATCTAACACGTTTATTTCAATGTTTTCGAACTGTCAACTTCTTTGTTGCCTTTGGAGACTGATTGTGAAATTCTGTAAATACTAAGATAAGTGCCAGATCAATTTGTACCTAAGCGTAAATATCCCCATTCGACTCAGTGCTGTTGGTTAGTCCTGTCTAACTGGGTTTTTTTCGAGTCATGACAGGTCAATCAATGACCAATCAAATTTGGATGGTTCAGAGTGTTTTATCCTGAATGGTAAAAACCACCCATCTACGGCATGTTTCTATCGAAAGTTATTCCAAATACGTTAACATATTTGATACTTTCGCATCAACAACACTTTCATTATTGGTTTCTTTTCAAACACTATAGCGCCATCTTATTTCTCGGCAATGTATAATCAAACAACATATTTTTGTTGGCATATAGTTTCTCAATAAAAAGACAGAACTCTTTTATCAATTAAAACTAAAGGCATCTATATGAGTCATCAGCTTCAAATTCATTGTCGTCAATATCAACGGACTCTTACCAATCATTTATTTTGAATAAGAAAAGAAAGTAAATACACGACAGCACAATAAGTTACAAAATACTAATGTGTGAAACTAGGATCTGAAAGAAACTTTGCTTTGTGGTCTCATCTTTTTCATATTAAGGGTAGTAAGTAGAGTCCTGGAAGGTGGTCTTGAACGTCTCCCTCCCCCTTTCGTAAAACCCCGTTTGTTACGTCTCGTGAGACAATCAGGATTGTCCGAAAAATGTTTCGAGCCGAAATAAACGAAACTCGGGATATTTCAAAATTGGTCCGACACTACTGTGCTAGTTCATTACTCTTACATAACTAAGCAACTGATAACGAAAACCTTGCGAGTTTCTTAAAAGAAAGCTTCCTTTTTAAATAACGGTTCTCCATAAGTTTGGTCAAAGATCTTCTGAGTCGAGAAATCGAAATGTCTGCTATCGATTTCGCTAGCTTCATTGCTTTAATTTCTCGATAGGAAAAGAATATTTTAGAAAAGTAAAGGATTTCTGCAACGAGAAATCAAGCTTGCAAATTGTGGGAAACTTATTAGAGATTCGAATTCCTTGACCCAATGCACTTTCGATCAAACTTTTGAAAAAAAATGCTATTTTTAAAGAATTATCTCTAGTTTGATAAACTTGCAGTTTCCAGTACCCATTAGTTAGTAAGTGGGAGCAGCACTTCCTAGTGATTATGATTTCTCTCTCTTCTTTCACTATTGATATAGAAAATTCATGATTCTCTTTCTGCATCGCTATAGTCATTGGAGTGGCAGGAATAATATTTTTCCCAAAAATGCAACTCAATTTTCCATCTTTTTCTCTAAAAGAATATTTTATATTGCAGGTGCAAGCAAACGTGAAATACAAGAAAACAAACCAAATTCAAATAATTGACGTGCAAAAGTTTGCGAACTATCATGTTTTTCTATTGTTCTATTTTTATATTGTAGCACTACAGAAGCATGACTGGTTTTGATACAAGAAATAAAAGTGTTCTTGATCCAAAGTTTATTTGTTCCGTTTGCTTATTGATATTAAAAGAGCCAGTTCAACTAATTTGTTGTGGTCTTCGAATATGTAAATCTTGTTTTCAGCGTCAACATGGGTATGGTTGTTTTTCTATTTAATTAATTAAATATCTTTCAGTATTGATTTAAGAACGAAAATGAAATGTCTGCAATGTTTAACAGAGGTATTACAAAATAAAGTAAAGTATTCATTTGATTTCAGTGGAATATAAATGTTCATTCTTTTAGATGATGAATGATCGAGGTTTCAACAATGAGATTCAATTACTACCAATTGGATGTTCTTTTTGTAATTGGATCGGTGTTCTTAAAAGTTATCAAGTAACATATATTGTATCCACCATATTTTCTGAATGTTTGATTCTTTTCTTCTAAAAAAAACATGTCGATCAAAGTCATGCAAATCCAAAATGCGAATATTGTAATAAACAGTTTGACACAGTTGAAAATCTTAATGAACATAAAGTATTGAAATGTGAAAAAATCCTTGTAAACTGTCTGTTAAAAGGCTTTGGTTGCGATGAACAAGTATAGACATTAAGTACTTTGTCAAAATAGAGGCATCCTATTCTGTTTTGTTTAGATTCATCGTTGTAGTATAATAGATCATTATTCGAATGAAAACCATTTAAATGCATTAATGAAAGTACTTCATCAAATACAGCTTCAAATGGAAAACGAAAAAAAGTCATCGACTCATATGAACAGTGATCCAACGTCAGTAGTGGCTGTTGATCTCAATACAGTTCTTTTTAGTGGTTATAAAATGTGTCTTCGTCTTTATTTGTATGGTGATGAAAATGCTCGTCGTACACACATGTCACTCTTTTTTGTGCTTATGCGAAGTGATTACGATCCGATTCTCAAATTTCCATTTAATTACAAGGTAACATTTTGCTTGTATGATCAAACACCTGCACAGCGGCATATTATCGACTCATTTCAACCAGACATTCGATCGAGTAGTTTTCAGCGACCTCAATCAGATATGAATATAGCAAGTGGTATACCAAAATTTTGTCCACTGAAAATGATTCAACAAGAGGGAAATCCTTATATTCCAGATGATGTAATGTTCATCAGAATTATGGTTGATTTAGGAAATATACACAAAACATTGTTGGCTCATGCTGTGAGTATGAATCTGGCTCTGCCAATCCATATTCAACAAATGATGATAAATCAAGAAGCCCAGCGTAGATCTCAAGAATGGCATAAAAAATCGACGAAAAAAAAAAGAATAAAACTAATCTGGACAGAAATTTATTCTTGAAGAAAAAGTATTTTCGAATACTCGATGTTTCTATTCTAATTTTGTTTATTTTTTTTTCTTTGGTTTTAGCATAATATTGTTCGTATTTTTAATCCCACTCTTTTAGGACAGAATTTCTGTCAATAGAAATTTGATTCTTCACTTAATGTATTGTATTTACTTTGAAATGATTGCATAAAAACTTGATGATAATAAAAGAAAAATCATTGGCTATTATTTTTTAAACAAAATCTTAATTTTCAAGTAAAGTATTCCATGATTGATCTAGCTTTTACTTTTTGGGTGCTAAAACAAGCACATGTTCGTGTTCCTTTTACAGATCAATAAATTTCATTATCGAAATGAAGAATAGATTGTGGTGATGCTAGCTCTGATTTCTTTTGAAAAAAAGACCTCCCAAGATTTATCTACTCAATGCCAGAACAGAAAAACTTCGCCACTGACATTATGTAATCAAAGTATGATGATTTACCCTAAGCTCACAGATTGCAGCAAATAAATGAGTTGAAAATAGATACATGGAGAAAATTAATGAAAAGGCGAAGCTAGTTTCTTTTGGATCTCCAATCGAAGGCGTACCAGGATATTCTTTGATTGAATCCGAAGAGGGTAGCCTATGATCTTTATTACGTTGAGAATTCAACAGTCTAATTTAAACAAAACATATTGGCTCAATTAAAAAAAACAAGTGTTGCAATGCATATATCATTGTTCCCCAAAGATCAAAGAATATATAAAAACATTGGTATACAAAGTAGACCCAAACTTTCACAACAAAAGGTTTCTTCAATTCTGGACCAAGTAAGAGACAGAAAAAAATTTAAAAACAATGAATTAGCATTAGAATGTAATATTCCTTTTGATTCTATTCTCAGAATTCTGCAAAGGCTCGTGGGTTAGAAATTATGAGTGTACTTTCGATTGAGCTGAGCATGAACTTTCGATGGATTTCAGTGCCCAAATTAACGTCCAGAATAAATGAAGCATTATTTCCAGATACACCTAACGAGAGAGAAAGCATTCCTCTAGAAAATGATAGCCTCATCATTTATTTCCTATGCAGCTTCTTTTCCTAGTGAAAATTTTAGTAAATTATACAGAGGCATTTTTCGACCTTCTTCATTCCCAGATTTTTAAAAAGAGTTTGATTATTTTAGAAGTATTGCCATGAAAATCTCGACTGTTAGCTCACTTTACAGAGAATCATCCTATCTCCATGGTGCGCTAAAAATGTTATATATGGTATTCAAAAAAGGGACATTACTACTGACTAGAATAAATACTGTTTAGTCACTGAACTAGAAAATTTGAAAACATGATAAGATAAAGGAAAACGAGCTGAGATTCATCAGCATTGAACCTCTTGACAACCGAAATAAAAAGTGCTAAGAAAACAGAAGAAAATCAATTCAAAAAGAGATACGATCGCATATTCCTTCCAGAGATCTGTTAGAATAAGTTTCTCTTTCTAGACTTTATTAACAGACTTACTCAAAAATCACTCCTAAATTCCTAACCTATGAATTTCACAACAATTTAGAGCATGAAATGGGTAAAAGAACCTTAATCTGGTTGCAATTCATTGTTCTAAAATTTTTGCTCACTTCATAGTCGAGTAGTCTTTATTTTCTATGAATTTTATCTGGCTTGAAATATATATTTTATAGTTTCACAAACTTAAAACTGTATTCAACGATATGCGATATATAATTCGATAGATTTCATAAGAGACTTTTGTGTCATATGATTTAGTGAAAATGAATTGATCAATATCTAAGAAGTTGAGTGTGAGTGTTATGGTACGATTGAAGTGGAGAATACGCTCTCACGTGTCCTAAGTATCCTAATAAATGTTTTTGGCGAGAATGATGGACGATAATATTTTATTAGCGTAACTATCGTAAACATCAGGATCATTTATCTGATCTTGTAGTATGTAGGCGCCTGTCAGACCAAAGTTTGCCGTCTGGACGACATTTACTCGAATTCTTTTGTCTATTGATCGGTTCTGATTAGAGGTGATATTTTAGGTTTAAAGTACTTTGATAAATTTGTTGAGGCTGGAGTTGTGATCTATATTTTTATAATCAGAGTTTCGATTGGCATGCCTTGGTTCTAAGGCAATTACCTAATGTATACCCGGATTTCCATTATTTCATGCGGGTATTGTCGTATACAGATTTGTGAATGCATCGCTTCTCTCTATCCCGAGATGAATGACAATGGTGAATATCAATGATGTCAACTTTTTTTCCCCATCCATTCTATATATTTTAACTTTAATTGCGAAGTTTCAATATGGTACCTTATTCTGGGAGCGCAAATCGACTTAGAAGATCACCAATATTCTTGATGCTAGATGCTTTTTTTTTAAACTAATTTCCATTGGTTTGAAATTTGACGGTAGCTTATAATGAAGCTAATTAATAATGCAATTCAACTCATATCATCCAGTAGACGATGATAAGATGTAAATGTTTTCGGGTGACATTAATGGTGCTTTTCTATTTTTCGGTTTGTATGACCTATTTCTAATAATAATCTTTCATAATGTCATGGAACAGGATTAATACAATTAGAACTAGTTTTAAATCATAATTGTTTGTGTAGATAAGATTGTATGTTTTGATTTTCTATTTAGTGGAGGAGTTTGTAATTTCATCATCATAATTGAGAAGAACGAAATATATGATCGAGACTGGCATGAGGAAACAAGTAGAATGTTTGAAGCATATTAGACAATTGTTTCCACTAATATATTCAAAAGAAATCAATAGCTCTATTATGTCCTCTCAATCTCAAATGTCTGCGGGTCAAGCTAAGATGAAATATGTGACCTCCATTGACAGCTTTGATTCCGAAATTTCAACTTGTTCTTCATCTTTTCAAGATATAAGAACTACTTTTTTAATTGTATTTATGATGCCAAGGCTGGGCTTTCTTTTTGTTCAACTTCAATTATGGAGAACACGTATATCAAAACTTGTTTGACAAGTCCATGCTCATGTCACTCTGTGATATACTCAAAAACTTCTTCTTCTTCTAGAAAATTTTCGATTGCGCTACGATATGTTCTTTTCTAAAAATGGAAGCATGCAATAGATGAATAATGCGTATTGCATTGTTATCCCATGGTAATTAGAAAATCAGCAACAGAAAACAGTATTTGAGGTTACAAGATAGACAACAAAATCGATATCTTTTAATTTCATTGATGAAGACGTAATCAATAAAGCCAAAACGAATCAAGTTTTGCATCCGTGTTGTCATTTTAATGCATTTGGAAATCCGTGGAAAACTCCGATAATTATCATAAGGCACATATGAATAAGTAACAAAATTGTGTAAATACAGGGGTTGTCATAATTATAGACCCCCCTCATATGTACATAGAAAAATGTTTATTTTATTACAATAAGGAATGATATTGATCTGCTAGGTGCGCATCTACGTGAGACTAATTACGACTA